AGATGGGGAATGGAGTCTCTCGACCCTTTGGGTGTCTGTGGTTAGAGGCACCTTCTTTGGATCTATCATTTCAATTGTTATATGTTCAAAAAACATATTACGGTGGTGATTATCGTGTAAGCATAATATGCAAATTTGGATTCTTCATGGTTGATTACATATATTTTGACACCAAAATCATATATTTTGCTCTACTGCCTCATGCTGTGTGACATTATAGTTATAGGGTTGCGCATACCGGCAATGGCGGCCATCTTGAAAAATGGCGGCCATTTTTAAAAAATTGCGTGGTAAACGTTCGATTTATGAATACGCATGTCATAATGGATATGTGTGCCAATTTTGGTGCTTGTATGACGATGTGAATGATTCGGCCGATTTTTGCAATTAGCTGCCCCACTACAGAGGCTACCACCGCAGGAAGACGTCACTCACAAGTGCAGCCACTGCAACAGGGACTGGAATTCCCTTGTGGGCCTGTTCAGCCACAGCAAGCCTATCAGAAATGGGACCCCTCCCCCCCTCCCTTAAAAAAAAAAAAAGTAGGTGCAGTGACACTTCCATAGACACAGTTTAGATCGTTTGAAGGGCTGGGGGGGGGTCCAACCTTTCCCGACAGGGCCAACCTAAGATTAGAGGGTTTCAAGTTACAGCATACAACATACTCGCAGAAAAAAAGCAGCATACGAACGAGATATGGCAGTAAAATATTTCTCGCCACTCGGGAATCGACCTTGAGCCTCATGTGTGCGATGTGCGGAGCCGGAGAGCTTAACCGCTACACCACGCCGTCATAGACGCTGGTTTAATAGATATTCGAAGTCCATAACTTATAAGATCTTTGCCGAGGGTGGATGGATTCATGGAATAATTTTTAAAAATAAAAAATATCATGAGGAAAGCCGTGTTTTTATTTTACTGTTTATTTATATTTTTATTTATTTATTTATCTATTTTGTTGTTTGTGTGTGTGTGTGGGGGGGGGGGGGGGGGGTCGGACCCTCGAGTCTCAGTCTTCATGTCACAAGTCACACTTGTAAGTGAAATTTGACGAGCAAATCTTGGCGTGCAAACTGACAATCACACGACAAAGTAAGATGTATGCTACTTAGAGAATCTATTGAGGATTTCTGAAATGTATTTTTGAACAATAATTGTTATTGTAAGTTTCACACTCCCACCAGTTAAGGTGTTCGCCTCTCATTCATAGGCTTAGGTCCCGGGTTCGAATCTCTAAAATGTTATCCTTTCACATCCTTTCTTGTTCTACAATGTTCTGTTGTTTGCATTTGTCCCCACCCCCTCGCCTCCTTTGCCCCCTCCTCTGGGCTCCTGATTTTTTCTGCAGCTTTCTAGCTACTGCGTCTACTTCTCTTTCTTGCTGCTATCTTTCAGCCAGACCCCTGATCTTATGATAGGTAAGATCTACACCTAGCCTTCTCGGACAATGGCGAAACATCTCGGAGGTCACGTGTGCAAGTTCCATGGTCGTCCAAAATCGATGAGTATTAAGAGTAGGCGTCGGCCGCCACCCGGACAAAATTCAAAATTTCCCACCAACTGAACATGTTTGGTGAGTCCCGAGCGCTCATGTGACCTTAAGCAGTTGCAAGCGCCGTAAAACACTTACACCCCACCCCCACATCGAGTACACTATTTATTTATATCATGTAGGAATTAGATGTCTTCAGCCCTGCCTACTGAGAATAATACAGCATTCTAACAGAAAGTAGAAAGGCAGAGATGCTCGCTAAAAATGCTCCCAACACAGGAATCGAACTCACATGTTTTGCATGCAACAGCGAAGCGCCTACCACTACACCACACAATCAGTTCAGATGACTGACATGAGGTACCCCACTTAAAATGCGCCACTCAAAAAAAATAAATCACTATTTTAGTTTATGGCACGGCCGTTTTTGTGATTTTGTCTCACTGTTGTTTGTCAGAACAATGTAGTGAGCACGTTTTTAACTGTGTATTATAGGCCTATCAATATAATAGATTTTAAAATAAAGTAGGCCTACAACGTTTAACACCGTTTAGGTTCCAGGTTTCGACATTTTCGTGTGTACCGTACGGTCCTTACGTCCTTACGTGTACCGTACGCTCCTTACGGTGCGTTGGTTTCACTTTTTTATTTCTCTTCGACTTATCTGTCCATATTATTTCCCCTGTACTAAGTAAACGTGGATCAAGAAACTGTGCTCTTGATGGAGTGGAGTAAGGTGTGCTATCTGTTTTCGGATCTGCTCAAACTATAATACATGATGTGTGTACCATAATATCAATGTGATCATCAAGAATGGCTTCACACGAGCCGTGTCCTCTTTGTTTGATTTAAAAGGGGAGGGGATAAAAAAAAAAAACGGACTTAATTATTCGTCTTCCCTCCTTTGCATTTTTTGTTCAGTTCAATACGGTACATTAGATCTAATTGTCTTCCATGTTTGTTCCTCTTCGTTGTTACACCGCATCCTTTTTGGTTTTGGGATTTTTTCTCCTACTCTACTTTGTCCGGTGCTTACATCCTCTCCATGGACACACTGTCACCAAAGACCGTCGGTCTTTGCTGTCACTGGACTTCATTATAATGTGGTGTCGGTAGTATAGTGGTTATTAAGTTACCGGACCTCGTAATCGTGTTGTTGCGAGTTCGGGGGTTCGAGCCGCAGGCCAGACATTGTGTCCATGGGAAAGGTATTATACACGCATTTTCCTTACTTCACCCAGGTGGGAATGAGTATCCAGTTAGACAGCGAAAGATCTTGTCAGTATAATACTGTTACTTGTGTTTTCGTGCCTATAAATAGCACTTTGCTCTGTATGCTTCCCAGGAAGTTGAGATTGTTTCAGAATGCTAGCTCTATTAGGTCTGCTCGGGTTATAGTAGGCCCTATAGACTGTAAAGCGCATAATTAGAGCTTGCTGCTGAGCAGGAATTTACGCTTTCTATTGCGACATATGTATTATACTGGACTGTTCTAGGAGTTTAATTGGTTCTCTATCCACCTGGCTCGGTTTGATGGGAGTCGGATATTAACTCAAACACACACATTCCACTACATTTAAAACCTAAACACTATCACTGAAATTATCATCACCAACAATATTCAATGTTACTATTCCAATTGAGATTTAGTTGTAAGTCAACTGCAAAAGTTGGTATCTGTGGTGTAATGGTTATGATTTTTTAAATTAATCAGTTGAGATCTAAGTTTGATTCCCACTAAGGGGAAAAAACAAAGATCAAATGAGAAAAAAGACGGGACCCCTTCTTTTCTCTGACTAAAAACAAACTCAGTTTCTCCAACCAAATGCTCGACACAGAAACCAACATGACTCGATGCTTATACTTGTAAGCGATCCTCGCTTGTCATCAGCTCATTTTAAGGCGCCGGTTGTGATTACCCTTGATGTGCAAGTATGTGTGACTAGTTTTGGAGGACAAGGATTAAACTTTTAAAAGCGTGGCTGCCGATATATTGTTCCTGCAGACAACAACGCAATCCTGATAGCCAATTTGCGAGTGAGGTAAGAGAAATAAGAACATATTAAGAAATAACTTTTATGTGTAAAAGACATCCTTGTGTCTGTGTGTGCTGGTGTGGCATACACGACGAGTGGCACATCACTAGCAGGGACATTGGATCTCTTGATGGAACAGCTTACAAAGTTAAGACATTATAGGTAGGCCCTACATACAGTTGACTAGGGATGAGCTGATGTCGTCAGGGGAGTGAAAGACAGATCAACATATCTGAAATTCAACTTAACCGTTGGAAACTGTGCTGTAAAGAACTTAAGAAGATCAACTTAACCGAAGATCAACTCAAGCGAGTTCAACACAAGCTGAGTTAACGGTATAATCATGTCATGGCTGTAGGTGACGAGAGAAGTTGAATGTCTCGATGATAAAAATACTTTTTTTTTCTCTCACCATTATGTTCTTAATCTTATTAATTTAAAAAAGTTTTAGTAAGCGTTTTACAGCACACAATTAGGTCATATAAATAAGTGCAGACGATGAGAGTAATAAACACAAAAAAAGGAGGAGAGATGAGGACAATAGATGTTTGAAAGGAAAGAAGAAGCAAAGTACATGTACACCTAACAACCCGCTGTAATAATTGCAATGTCTTGTGAACCAGAATTATTCTTAAAATGCCCCCTCCCCCCATATCCAACAGATTGTTGCCTGTACAATTTTAAAGTTTTTACATGATCTCCAGAAAATCCACTAAAGAACAAAATAGGTTGGTGTACCTCTGATATATTGAAATAAATGCTGTAGGGACAGGCTTACCTTGGTCTGGTGTCCTATATGATAAATGAAGAAATTTGGTACCATTTTCTCCATTAAGCAACTAGGAAAACTGGGGACAATTTGCAGTAGTACCCCTCTAAGAAAGTTGTAATGTACGTTACCGAGTTTATGAGTCTCCCTGCCAGAAGCCTGAAGTGACAAGACCAAAAAAGGAGCAAGGCAGAAAAAACAGCCTACAGACACCACGCAATTCAGACATAATATGCAAGGAGACTTTAAAGTGGGACATTTAATCATATTATATGGTATATATTATACTGCTGTGAAGCTGTGAATGTTGACAATGTGCTAAGGTGTGTTGGTGGGCGTGAATGTATCCCCTCCCCCACACCCGATCCCTCTTCCAAAAGGGGGAAATAATAAATATAAACTGAATCAAGCAGCAAAGAACTTTCTATCATTCACAGATGACTTTCACAAGCATCATGAAACCTTCCTAAATTTCTATAAAGACGTTCAAACTACAGTCTAGTAGGCACATAGGGATACACACTCACATTGAACAGATTTTCAGATCCCCAATTTTTTTCACACATTATTTTTAAAAAATAAAATCTTACACACTTACATTTATAAAATTCGTACACAATAAAAAGATTTCTACGTCCAGCCAATTTCACTATGCACTTACTGGACTGTGATAAACAAGTAAATAATAAGGAATAAACATAACTTGCTCTCTGACAAAATCTTTATTGCAGGGCATGTCAGCAACTCAGATGAAAAAAGCTATAGTTTTCAGTGGTTACCAGAAAAAAAACCCATAGGGTGGTAGCCTATTGTGTGTCTAATAAATTACTATACCCCATTGGCACTACTCTGGAATGTTAGAATAACAAAAATAACAAAAGATATCAGACCCCATAATTAAGTACAAATGCCAGCCAGCAATATGGGTTCAGTCCTCCTCCCCCTCCCCCCTTCCATATATGCCCAAACCTTAATTAAATGTTCTTCTCCTTTATTTCCACTAGGCCAGTACTCTTTTTTTTTCTTCCCACTTTCATGAATATGACATAAGGTGTGGCTACCAATAAAACATAACAAAACATAGAGATGAATTTACATCCAAAAATTAATTTCATAAGAATAAGACACCGGTTCCAAGAGTTTCCTTTGAATAATAAAGTCAATATGACAAGAAAGAAGGACCAAGATGTAAGAATGTGGAACATGTATTGGCACCGACATCTGTCGTGCAATCATAAGGCTTTCTGTCCATCCCACTAAAGAATAAAATTCACTTTTTATCAAGTTTCTCCATTCTTGTGCTGGTATGTACTCAAAACAGTCTGGGTTAGCCCTGACTGGCAGAACAAAAGCAGCTTGCCTCCTAAAAGATCTAAATTGAGTTTACAGAGGCATAACATTTTTATAGCATGTACAAGCGAGTCCAGTTGGTCAGTTTGAAGAGGCAAAACCTTCTCAAATTATTAAGCCAAGAATGACAAACAAGACAAACTAAAGGCTGAAAATCTGAGCCTGTAGTTTGACACTTCTGTTTGGCTAATTTCCACCCAAATCCCCATCAACCCTAAAAGGATACATTTGTGCAATTGAACAATCAAATATTCATATAATAACAAAATGAAATAATCACAGTAAAGTCTACAGGTACAGCATTTTTTTAAATAGCATTTTCTTCACAAAGAGAAAAAATAAATTAACTTTTATTTGTTACATGAAGTCATCCCCATGAGACATCTTCTAACTGAGGGAGTACCAGATCTGGGCAGCTTAACCTTGGAGTTTCAAGCTCCCTGATCTGACACAGCTTCAGTGTGTAAGTTAGAACAACCTGAAGACTCAATAGATAGGATAGTAGCCTACTGAGGCAGAATTATTTCATCTGCAAGGTACCAGTGTAGTATGCCCAGGAATCCTGAAAGCCCCACCATCAGGACAAGTGCTAATATATTATAATAATATTAGCACTCTGTTAACTTCTGTACAATACGCTCCATAAAATAAAGACAAGTGTATCAAATAATACACATCACATCATGCCCTGTCGCCAGCCTGGAACAGCCCTGTGGGGCATGTGGAGAATTTGACCCCCACCACCTGAGGATTTGTCCTTTAGTCTCTCCTTCCATCCAGCAGTAGGCTTTAACAATCTGTTTGGATCTCTGGCTGCTTCCACATGAACCTGTATAAAAACAAACATTTCAGTGTCAAGAACAATCATAACACAATAATTGTACAGTGTGTGCATAAATTGAGGTGAGAACAGCAACAAGAAAGAATCATACTCTTCTAATTGAAATCCAAGGGTGAATTTGAATAATGAGGCTTTAGCTAATATTCAATTTCAGAACATCTCATCCATGAAAAAACCCCAACTATTCTGATTTCAGCAAGAACTTGAACTTTTTATAAAAAAAGAAACAAACAATAGAATACCAACAATGCCACATATTTTGTTATACAGAAAATGTGAATGGGGTCACTAAGATGTCAAGATATATAAATACGCATACCACAGAGACTGATTCCTGTTTGAAAGGACTCATTGTTTTACAAAGGCAAAAAGCAGAGTGAGCCAACTTTACAGATTGATAGCAAAGATGAGAATAAATTTTGAATAAAAAAACTTTGAGATTCTTACGGTAAGTTCATTTTTTAATGTGCCCAAACAAATTTAGCAACAAAGTTGGCAAAATTCTACAGACTCGAGTCAAGCTTGGAAACAAATATAACCCAATACCCAATTCCTGATCAATAAAAAGCTTCCAAAGATCAATGACTGCAGCTCTTCGCAATCAGTGTACCCATTCACCTGGATCTACAGACACAGTGCCACGAAGGTTATAACACAAAACAAAAATAGCACCATCATATGAAATAGTGTTCCCTGGTTACCTGGTTTTTTAAAGCTGCAAGTCTTCTCTCTTTTTCCTTTTTCTTCTCTTCCAGTTCTTTCTCTTTAAGCAGCTTTTCATCAAGTTGTCTCATGTCCTGTAACATGAAGATATCATAAGTATTCTTCTACGTTGCCATATCAGCTAAAGAGTACAGCATTTGGAATCCAAAATACTTTTTTTTTTAGGCTACTGTTTTACGGCGCTCGCAACTGCATAAGGTCATATATGAGCGCGCGGGACACATTAAACTTTTTCAGTTGGTAGGAAATTTTGATTTTTGCCCGGGTGGCGGCCGAAGCCTACTCTTATCGATTTTACACCACCAAGGGATCTTTAACGTGCGCAACTTGCGTACAGGACATCCAAGACTTTTTGCCCCTGTCCGAGAAGGCTAGGTGTAGATCTTTCCTAGCAGAAGATCAAGGGTGTGGTTGAAAGACAGCAGTAAGAAGAACCCAAGGAGTAGCAGTAGAAAGGCTGATGAAAGCAGACGACAGAACATTGCTTGAGAGCAGGAAAGGAGGTGAAAGGAGACAATTTTAGTGAAGAAAATTTTTCGGTCGCCACCCGCATTTGAACCTGGGACCTTTGAATGAAAGGTCAACACCTTAAATTCTAGGCCACGAGAGCAACCAAAATACTTTTTATAATTGTGCGAAAAAGCAAATACAAAATGACTGACTTTAGGATATCTGCTTGACATACATGTGGAGTAAACAGAGAAATAGAATAAAAGTGTCATAAGTGGCCTAATTTCTGGTTCTTGGTTCTGTTGAAGCTGTACACTAGTGCAAACACTGCCATGTGGTCTCTCATGTGATCAAAACAAAAATATCTGCAATCTTCTTCTTTGCCCTCCCCCATTAGAGCTCAGGGGTAGATGACTGCTGGTTGTTCAACCTGCAGTGAAACTGGTTTTTGTATTTGTGAGGCAGCGTAGTGACATCAGGCGCTTGTCAAAATCATGAAAATAAAGAAATCTGTATTTCTATGGACGTTGGTCAATTTTTTTCGATTTTTTGGGGGGCTCATCTTTAATGTCCATTTAAAAACACACTCATGTGTGGATTTTACTTAAAAACGTTGATTGAAGGCACAAAAGATGTAAATTTGCATTTTGCAAGGACTCTCAAGCTTTGGTAGTCGCCAAATTTTGTCATCCATTTTCTCCCTAATTTTGCTTCTGAAACCAAGCAACATCATTTCCTTCAATTGCAAATATCTCGACTCCTATTCAAGACAGATGTGTAATTTTTTCAATGAAAGCAAGACAAATGAACAAGCTTTATGATGATACCTGTTGCCACATGGTGGAATCAGGCGCTCGTCAATTTTTGGGCATGTGGGGTTATTGGTATCATCTTAAAACCTGTCTTTTTGCCTTGCTTTTGATGAAAAAAAATATTCATCTATGTTGAATGGAAGTCGAAATATTTGCGATTGAAAGAGGTCAGGGTCGCCTGGTGGTGTTAAGCTTAAAAAAGAAAATTATAACAAAATTGCCTAAACATTCAGAAAAATGCCAATTTCTTTGATTTCATTATTTTGAGGAGCGCCTGATTTCACCACGCTGCCTCACATATGCAACCGTTTTTCCTGCCATCAGGCAGCCACACTGCTGTTTCAAAGGTACTCTATGTGTTTTTATATTGACTGGGGTATTTGAGTTTTGGTAAGAATTTTGAATTTTGCTCAGGTGGCGGCTGAAGCCTTCTCCTATCGATTGTAGAAGTTCCAAGGAATCTTACACGTGTCAGTACAACTTGCACAAAACACTTCCAAGATTTTTCACCATTATCACAGGTTAGGTGTGAGATCTTACCTACCCTATGATCGGGGTGCAGCTGATAGACATCAGTAAGAAAGAACCAGGAAAACTGTAGAAAGAGTCAAGAGTAAAGGGGAGAGGAGTCCAGAGGAGGCTGGAGGTAGGGAGGATGAGGGGGGGAGTAAGTGGAGATGAAAGCTGGTGACAGAAGAGGACTTCAGAACTGGGAAGGAGGGAAAAGGAGAAATTGTCACACTTGGTACAAGTAATTTCAGTTTGGCTTGTTGTAGGAGATGGGAAGTCAACTGTATTGTGTGCTAAATAAATCAAAAACAGATTCGAATCTAAATCTAGACGTTGTTGAACAGCAGTCATGGGGAAAATGAAGAGAAAAAAAACAGTCTGCAACTGATGCATCAGAGGAAAATGATGAGAATAGAAATTTTATTAATCTCTAAAAAGAGGTTTTTGATTCACAGGCAGCCACCATCTAGATTTGAATTAATCCATTATAGAGTGTATCTAGAATAGACTTGTCACAATTGCATTTCATATTTTCTTCCCTTTCTGGCCACTGGCAAAGTGTTTTTGAAAATAGCTAACACAATGAAAAGTCCTGATCTAATGGAGAGCTCACCCCCAGCATGAGGCCACATGATTTGACCCTGGACACATAAATTGACCTATGTGGCTACATGGAGGCCCCTGATCTCTATGGGGATCCTTATCTTGGTCTCTTTACAATTCAAAAGTGCCAACTGATGCTAGCAAATTATTTTCCATGCAATGTCTCAACAGCTACAGTATGCCAGTAACCAATAAAAACAACTGGCTATGATAGTTTTTAGAGACAGAAATGTGACAAGTGGCCGCATTTATGGTAGTACTTCTAACCAAGAGGTACTGAAACAATAAACGTTGAGTCACCAGAACAAGGAACAATGTGTTCTGTGAATGTGTTACATTATTTTTTAGAAAAGAAACAATAACAAAATTGAAAGTATTAAAACACACAACTTTCAAAAGACCAGTACACATATCACAGCACTATACCATTTGATTTTTCAAAACAACTTACTCGATTTCTAAACCTGCCTATCTCTCTTGCAGAGATCTGTTTTCTTCTCTCCACTTCTTCCTTCTTACGCTCTTCCTCAATCATCTGAAGCATTTCCTCTTCAAGCTGTCTCTGCTGCTTTACTTCTTCCACTTTCTTTTTTACTTCCATCTAAAAAAAATGTATAAAGAAAATGACTGTTTAAAAAGAAAAATTGATGCCACATTGTCATAGCATAAAAATGATACAATTAAAATATAATTCAAAGGAATATTAAGTTTAAACATGGATACCAGTAGATATCTAATATCATCAAGACAATTCTATGAACCAAAAATGACATAATCATAACTTGAGGTTAAGTTTACAGAGACTAACATTGTATTTGAGAACTCAGGCAGAAATATTGATCTTAAAATCTCAGCTGAAAACTGCTAAAGTATATTCTAACACTCATGTGGGAGTAAAAATTTTCAACATTCTCTCTGATTTACTGCCAACGCAATGAGAGAGAATCTTACACATTTGAAAAGCAGGATAATCTTTCTAGAAAGGCATTTAAAACAAACTCCATAGAATAACCACTATAGAAATCTTAATGCATTTCCCTTGAAACTCAGATCAAATTAGAATGTAGCAGCAGAATATGACATACAATCAGCTAATCTTTCGTTTCACGTTCATGCACTTTCATCGTGGAACATTTTTTAAGTCATCTCCAAACTTGTGCTGCAATTTTCATGCCATTTGATCGTCTATCACTATTTACAAAATGCTCCAATAGCACCAAAATAAAGTGCAAAATGCTCAATTAAGACTATCTTTTAAAATAGCCTATGCAAAAGCGTCAGTTTCGAAAATGTTCAATTTGAAACAAATTTCCTCAGACCCAAGACATTGTGAAATCCACACAAATTCAGCAGATAGAAAACAAAAAGAGTTTGATATTCTTTCCTCAGAAATGATCTAAAAGATAATGTACCTGTCTATGTCTGTCCTCTTCTTGACGTTTTTTCTTTTCCAGTTCCTCTTTCAGTTTTCTCTCCTCCTTCATTGCCTTTTCCAATTCCTTTTGAACCTTTTCAACAACAACAAAAAATAAAGTATTGTCAGTTACTGCATGCAAACACAAAAAATGACTTACAAAAATATTCAGTTGAAACCCTAGATTCATAAGGTACTCAACTGGGTTTGCAAAGGAATTCAACTGGGTTTGCAAAGGAATTTAAGAATCTTATTACTACAAAAGTTATACTGCTAATTACAGCTTTTCTCGCATTTAAAAAATCAGTCTAAAAAGCCAAAAGTCACGTCTTCAAAACTGAAAAAGTATCACTGACAACTAAAAAAAAAGAAAGAAAAAATTAACAATGATACATGAACTGCATATGGAAAAAGGTACCAATAGCAAAAGAATCTATTGATCAGGAAGTAAAACTAAAGACAATTACAAAATAGAAAATTACAGGGGACTTTGTCCAGCATTTTGCAAATTGATCTAGAAGTACAGTAACACAATTGTAAGACATTTTCTACCTCTTTTATCCACGCCTTACCTTCCAAGCATTAATCTGCTTGAGTTTCTCTGACTTTTCTTCAGCTGAAGTGACTTTCTCTGTCCCGGCATTTTTCATCTGCTTTGTTTCCTTTTCTAATTCATCTTGTACTTGTGTAAGAGCATCTTCTTTTTCTTCCTTGAAAGAGAAACATTAAAGCATTTCATTGAACAATAACATAATAATAATGGATTACAATGATTATAAGCAATTATGCAATAATTAGTTTCATTTTAAAGTCCTAAGATTTTTTCAGTCAAAATTTTGTCATGATAAGATACTACAAGATTTATACATCTATGGAGGAACAGGCAAAATGGGCATATATGCAACAGCATTCAAGAGCCTATAAATCATACCTCTTTTTTCTCTCTCCACTTTTTGATAGCACACTTCTTATTTTCCAAAAGAAAGGAATATTCTTGATACCATGACTCATGCTCTCTCATCTCACTTTCTGTACGGGTAGGCAACATTGGCTTCAAGTGATCTAGGAAGACAATACGACCCTGAAAGAAAATACATTAAAAAATATTATTTATCACAAAGCAAAATGTTTAATTTAAAAGTTTAAAAACCTTTTCTTTCATAAATCATATAAAGTAGTGTTGCACAGACTCATTAAAACATGTTTTAATCAGAAAATAGAAACATATCAATGAACACCAAAATGAAAGTCCTGAAATGCTATGTTTGGTCAACCCTTCTATATATGGCTGTGAATGCTGGACAATCACTAAAGACAGTGAAAATAAAATAGAGGCAACAGAAATGTGGTTTCTTAGGAGACGGCTAAGAGTATCGTGGAAGGAAAAGAAATCAAATGAGGTAGTGCTTGATGAAGCCCACGTGGGACGCTCAATGTTAAAAATAATCAGGAAACGACAAATGCAGTTTTTGGGACACCTGAATAGACATAAGGGTCTTGAACATCTAGCTCTCACTGGCAAAATTAAGGGCAAGCGAGGCAGGGGTAGGCCCAGAACAACATACTTCGGGAACCTAAACAAATGGGTAACAGGGAAAGATCAGGGAAACGTAGCTTTTCTGAGAGCATCCGAGCAAAGGAATGAATGGAAAATCATGATCGCTGATGTCTGTCGCAGATCTGGCACTGGATGATGATGAATCAGAAACCCCAGAGTAAGGCAAGCCATAGTGATATGAACTCAATGATGCAAAGAGCTTCGAAATTGTTCGGTGAAATTATATGAGTGTGACTGACAATGAAAAAAAGGAACGGGGTCACAGGGTCTCTTACCTTATACATGTTTCGGTAGCGAAGAAAAGTTTGATGGTCATATTCATCCCAGCCTCCTCTATGTCCCCCACTTTGGTGGACAAATTTCTGCAACAGGCAAAGGAAATGAGTTAATCATTCAATGCGTACAATGCAAAAACTGTGGGGTTAAAATGGAGTACCTTGCTTTAAACATGGAAAAACAATACTTTTTTCAGGAATAACCTTCTAAATGACAACTTTTTTTTATTTAGCCATTCAACAATCATTTTATATTTAACAAAAAGGGGAGTAAAACATTGTTTACAAACTGACAGATGGTGTGAAAATTTGTGAATATCAATCAGAATTTGAAGCGTCAGAAAAGAAGCAGGTCTTACAAAGAAAGAAAGAAGCAGAAAAAACTCTATGAACTCAACCCAAAAACATTGTAGGAATATTAAACCATAAGCCACAAAGCTCAGAAAAAGGTAATTCCCCATAAACTGACACCATAGTGGATAAGACAAGACAGCCAATATACCTCACCGATATGGTCATTCAGCCTACAACACAGCAATAAAAAGCAACTTACATCAAATGCTGCAACTTCAGGAGGTAGGTCTTTATTGACATCCCTCGCACTGGCTATTGGTTTGGTTGACGTCGTTCGTGCAGATAAATCAGTCTTATTGAGCTGAGACCATGAATCAAATTTGTATTCTAGTTGTTGAACTTCTTGAAGTAAAGTTCTCTCAGAGCGCATGAACTCTTCATACCTGTTGAAGGAGGAATTCTTTAACTCCCCTGTCTCAGTATTTCTATGAAAAGTCAAAGTTTTCAGCTGAATTCCATTTCTTCTCTTGCGAATGGCAAATCCGTATCTAATATTTTCATAACTTTACCACAAAAAGAGACAAAATAAATCTTTAATCCTTCCACAGAGACTTTGAAATATTACCAGTTAATAAATACAAAAAGAAGCATTTCTAAAAATAATCTTAAGTTCATTTTGAAAAAGTTCAACTACTATCAATAAAAATGCTCTACTGTCCACCAAAAAATCAGACGCCTTCTGAAAAAGCTATAAACTGCACAGAAACTCTCCACACAAACTCTACTTACTTTGATCGTTGTTGCTCTTTGAAAGAATTGATAGTCTCTTCAATTTCCTCCATGATACTTTTAAGTTTTTCCACAACTGAAGAAGACAAGAAATATACATTTTGTTCTCAGAGTTTTATTTTGATCAGTTTCTAATTATTGCAAATATCTCATAAAAATAGTTTGTGTTTCTACAGCTCTCAGTTCTCCTACTTGCATCTTATTTAGTGAACAACATTGAACTATATTCCCACCGTCATTAAAGAAATACTTACATTTTACAAGTTTTATTCCTATGCAGTCAGAAGAAGTGAAACTACAGCATACATTTGTAATTGTCTAATCTAAGACTGAGAAGAAACTTACGTCTGATTTATTTGTCTTTTGTGATATAAATAAACAGGACTTCGATTTAGAGTGAAAATATCAGTAACAGATCTCAATTGAAGGAATCACCATTTCTGAATAACACATATTTAAGTTTGGCATATTCCAGTGTATTTATCATCAGACTGTGCACTAAAGCCATGCCAAGAAGCTCATTCACTTCCATATGAAATGTCTCAGGAGAATTCTTCGCAAAAAATGGCAACCCAAAACACTAGACTACGAAGTTTTCAAAAAATTAAATGCCACGAGTTTGTTTGCTAAGTTGATAAAATCAACTTTGTTGGGCTACACATGTCATAAGAATGCCTGATTTCAGAATCTCAAAGTAAGTATTCTTTTCAAAGCTGTCCTGGTCTTCAGGGAAGAAGAAATTTGGTGCACCAAGAAACACTATAAAGACACCCTGAAAATTTCTCTGAAGGACTTCAATATTAATCCCTTGACATGGGACAGCCTAGCTTCTGACAGACCCAGTTGGAGAGGAGCAATCACCGAGAGTAGCAAATCATATGAGGCTTCACAAATTAGAAACACTGAAGCCAAGAGAGAAGCCTGCAAGTTACACATATCCCCAAGTGGAAATGAAACCATCTGTGCTCAATATGTAGTAAAATCTTCCCTGCCTGAATCGGTCTTGTTGGCCATATCAGAAGCCACAAATCATCATAGCCCTTATTTCTTCTATTTCTTTTTAAGAAATATCCTTTACTGAAGATATATTTATTGTCATCGCCAGACAAGCTATTATCATTATTACATTCATCACAATCACAGAAAGAACTTAAGTCTCTCATCCACACAACATTCCATAAAACATGTAAACACACCAGTATATAATGCATTTATCTGAAGAAGTAAGACTACAATCATAAGCATACAGACTCTTCTGTACATGATAACAATGAGGTTAGGACTGAATCTGGTTTCTTGGGTGATATAGTTTGATCCCCAAATAAAGACATGTTCTAGATACACATCTAATGCAGCTCAATTTCATACATTCAAAGTTAGTGTAAAAAAGTAGTAGTGAGATACCTTTTATTACAAACTATTTACATAGTAAACAACAAAACAAACTTAAGAGAGATTTAGGATGACTTTTTAATCTAGAAAATCTGAAAGTTGTTTTAATTATATCTATATACAGTGGAACACGGATTCAATGAGGTCGTCGGGTCTGACCTAAGATCTCGTTGAATCCGAGTGTTCGTTATAGCAAACACGAGGTTTTGTGTTGATAATTACAGGCACTGAGCATGTAATGTATAAAGAGAAGTCACAAGTAGTGCCTGAAAGGCCTGAGTATTTTGAGCTGTGTAAAAAAAAGACCGATTCGTTCAAATACACACGCCTCTGTCATCTCGATTGTTTACCAAAAAGCTGTGTCGCAGTGTAGAGCCTAGCATACGGCAACTTTTGATTCCCAAGAGCAGCACACATTTCATTATTGTAAAAATGATCAGTTGCCGAGGGGGAAAAAAGACTGACCCGTTTGTATCTGCGACGTTCAACGCCCGGACCGCTAGT